GTGTTCATTGACTGCAGAAATTCATCCAAAGTGCACATGTGACATATCTTATACCTACAAGCAAACTTGTCAATAATCAAGCATCTGTTAATAGTTTTGTTTTATCATCATCATGATTACAGCATACTTCACTTCACAAGACCACTGCTGAACATAGGCCTCCCCCAAAGAGTGCCACAAAGCACGGTCCTGAGCCACCCGCATCCATCGACCTCCTGCATGTCTTACCAGTTTGTCACTCCATCTAGCGGTGGGCTGCCCCACACTTCGCCTACCGGTTCGGGGCGGCCACTTGAGAACCTTGCTTCGGTTATCGGTAGTTGGTTCGTTCGGTTCGGTAGTTGGTTCGGTTATCGGAACCTTGCTTGCTTCGGCTATCGGTAGTTGGTTCTTCGAGCTATATGGCCGGCCCATTACCACTTCAGCTTACTAATCTGTTTTATGACGCAGAGAAACCCCGAGCATAGCCCTCTCCATAGCTCACTGAACGACGTTGAGCTTCCTTATACGGCGAGCAGTGAAGGACCACGTCTCAGATCCATAAGTCATCATGCACTGGTTGTACAATCTCGTTTTCAAGTTTTGAGGTATACATTATACCTGACGAGAAGATATGTCGTAATCTACCGAAAGCTGCAGCTTGGCTGGGCAGTTGTTTTATGTTGCATCTGAATTGTCATTTATATTCAACTAGCTTTTTACCCGCGGCTTCATTCGCGTGGTCTTCAATTTAGAAACATCATTAAAACTCCAATTAAAATTAAAATTTCGTAAATGTTGTTCTGTTCACGATACACATGTGAGAGGAACTATATTTATGAACGGGAGTAGATATAAACAGAAGATGGGCAGCAGAGTCTTTCTGATTACAGCTCAAAATAATAAAAAGCTACGGTTGCCAACTCACTTGCCAAGCGTGGCTACTAATACAAATATTCAGACTATTTGTCAAACAATGGAAGAAGTCTACATACATCTCACTACTGGGCATTATTGGGATTGAGTTGACTCTAATGCAGGTTGCCCGACTTCGCATAAGTATACCTTACAAATGATTTCCGAAATATTTTTTCAACTACTCAAAAATGGAGGTTTGCTCCCAATATTTCCTTTCGCCACAGAGAACGTGGTAAAACGAAACTCCAAATTGCAATTAATATATGAGTGATGTCGGTTCGGATCGAATTTGGATTGCTTACGTACTATGAAATTTACGTTTGAATCGGTTCGATTACCGGATAACTTTAAAGCTTCTATCAATGAAGTTATACTCATAGTTAAAATAAAATAAACATGTGTTTAAATATTTGCTGCCTTTGATATTTATTGTACTTTTTCGTATGAGCCTGTTAATTTACTCATGTCAGCTATGAAACCGGGACTGTCACAAAAATTTTAATATGTAGGTATGTCTGAAAAGATGAAAGCTATCTTAATATATTATTACAAACTGTTTTATAAGTCTCATTAAAAGTTAAAAGTAAAGAAGCAGCTTACATACGTCTTACGACTGTTCACAGGTCTGCTAATTACCCATGTGCAATATAGCGGTTTCACATGTCCAGGAATTTTTTTTTAAAACTACTCAGACATCAAGATTTCGTCGCCAAGTTATTCTTTACCATTAAATAAAATATCCTTACCCGTCTCATTGGTCCTCGGGAATCGAACACTTCTGTTCCTGTGCTTTGAAATATTACAGCGAGCTACACGGCTCTCATATTTGCTTAAATAAAACACATAAAAACTGAAAAGAAGCTTTTGAACTATTGTGGATCCCATTTACCTAGTAATTAGTCATTCAAACTATTCCATCATTTAGAGATGCAAATCTGACAGTGCACTTAATTTTCAATTACTTACATCGGACTTACAAAAAGAAGTTGGTGAAATACTGCTATGTTGATAGATACCCAACATATTCAACTAAAGACTTGCCCTCTTAATCACAGTTTTGTGTACACAATTCTGCTAGTCATTTTGCTAAAAGTGACAATTATGATAAATCATCCCTACACCGGTCTGGATATTATAAGTCTGAAAATTGTTGATGCTGAAAGAATAAGTATTCAATAAAATTCGCTTTAATTTGATCAGTTACTCATTATTAGTTTATTTAGTAGTAAGTAAATGGTACGATATTATGAGATTAAAACAATGAAAATAAAAACTGTACCCTCTAGAGGGTACTCAGCGACAATAAGTTGAGGTAAGACTGGGGTGGCCCAATTACACAGCAAAGCCGCTAACATTTATACAAGGTTATTTTGCTATAGCCAAATTTACTGAGAAGGTTCAGATTAAGTAATATAGGCAAATGATGAAGAAAAATTAATAAAAACTCTTAAACATTCTTTCCCTTTTATCTTTTAAATTCAATATGCATGGTAATGCTTATCTTAACTGATTTTACTGCACGCACACATTCTTAAGGGTCGATTGGTAGGCAAAACCTTTCTGTAGCTTTGTTGCCCATAAAATACGTTCAATTTGGGATAATCTATACAAATGAATAAAATTGAAGTGTCTGTTTGTAATGTCGAAATATCAGGTTTTTACTACATGCATATGAAAGTATATACGGTACGTATAAAAAGACACGATTTTTTCTGAGGTCTGTCTGTATGTTCCAGCTAATCTCCGAAACGGCTGGACCGATTTTGACCGCACTTTCACTGGCAGATAGCTGATGTTACAAGAAGTAACTTAAGCTACTTTTATTTTAGAAAAATAATTAGTTTCGCGCAAAAAATTAAAACTAATGAAATCCAATCATAACAAATTACGCGCGGGCGGAGTCGCGGGGAACAGCTAGCTTAAAATAAAATGAGTAACCTTATTTACTCGTATTTTCAAAAACTGCAATAACGGTATATCATTATTTATTTAATTGAACTTAAATTTAAAATTTGGCTACTCTAAAGGACATTGTTCTGCGTCCATACAATGTTCGCCTAAGTACCAACAGTGAAAAAAAATATCTTTTTAAGCCCGAAATTAATCATAATTGTATGTAAGAACAATAACTCCTCACACTGACACTTCTGAAAACTTAGATATTTTTTTAAAAAAAAACGTTACCCCCACACGAGCAGCAGCTATTAGCAGTTATCATAGAGATTTTGAAGTTATGTTTTATTTTTATGAAACACTAGCTGTTCCCCGCGACTTCGCTCGCGTAATAGGGTCTTTATGTTTTTGCGCGGAACCCTAATACTTTTTCTTAAATAAAAGTAGCCTAAGTTACTCCTTATGAAATCAGCTATCTGCCAGTGAAAGTCGAAAGAAAGATTAGCCGGAACAAACAGACAGACAGATAGACAGACCGACAGACAGACAAAAATTTAATAAATTGTGTTTTTGTTATAAATACCGTATACACTTTCATATGCATTTAGTTAAAAGCTGTTATTTTGACATTACAAACAGACACTTCAATTTTATTTATTTGTATAGATTACTATGTTATCGCTAATGTAAGCAGTTCAGTCTTAGCCTACCATTTATACGGTAAATAAAACTCAGGTTATGATTAGGCATTTATTTTATTCATCCCAAATATATACAAATTATACAGTCTCATTTAGTTAAAGTCCGTGAAACAAGTAGGTAGGTCAGGTAGGTCGCTAAAGAATAGTGTTACGGCTCTCAGTTGCCCAAACAGAAGTCGACTGTATTAGGGCCCATCAGTAATACACTCGACAAGCAACGAGAGAATTCGGGTCCAATGACCTATGGATACTTATTATATATAAGGGCTGGATAAGCAAACACAAACTTACCGAGTTCCGGAGGTAGGGTCGACCACAAGGCGAAGTCAGGTGGTAAGTGAGGTGTATGTAAGTAGTGTGTGAAAGTGTGTAGATGTATCCTGACGTCACCGACGTATTCTGAGAGCAGACCCACAGGCGCCGCTTTCCTCCAAAATGTGCGATCCCTCCAGTGGGCGTTCACCAATTGAAACCTTCTGCTTTTATTTCACTACATTAGTTATCAACTTTATTGTACATTTAATTAACACGAGCACGAACGCGATCTCTTCTCGAGTCACAAAGTTAAGCGTTCCACACGACAAAGCAAAATTCCTTCGCACGATATTAAAATGCCACAAAGCAACTCGTCGACGCAAATTAATGGTAATCGAAGTAAGTTAATCAATCAAAAATATTACAACAAGAATTGTAACAAGACTAGCCTCGTTGCCACGTAAAACGTACGAGATTAGACAACGCTATTAGAGGCTATTCCGAACGCCAATTTCCAGGCCGTCTCATCGACACCGAGGTCGCTAGCAACTTATTGTTCTAGACTAGTCTCGACCGCCGCGCCCTCAAATGAAATGCGAGCGAGAGCGGGAGCCGGCGGTGACCTTGGTACCATCGGTGGCACGCGCCGAGTCGAGAGTTTTGAATGCAAGTTTTAATTTTTAATATTAGGCCTAAACAAACACCAGTCCCGGACATAAGGACTTATGTCCGCGAGTAAATTGGCAAACGGGATAGGGTCGCGACCACACGTTGCAAGACCAAATCTCCAACCAAAACCTCGGCTACCCTAGGCATCCCATCCGATCCATACGACAACTTAACAATGCGCCCACGGCGCCATTACAAAGGCAAAGCGTTGGGTTCTTTAACTAACACGAGGTGTCCGACCCGAGGAGGATCCGTCTTGTCAGACCACTTAACGCGCTGCTGCAAAAGATGTAGGTACTCCAGAGACCATCGGTGCCAAAAACTCTGAGTCATCTGTTGCAGCAGGTTAAATCTACTCAACCACGAAGAGTTTATTTCCCTGAAAGGGTACTCGGGCAGGGCGTTAAGAGACTGGCCAATCAGGAAGTGGCCCGGGGTTAGAACCTCCAAATCATTCGGATCGGACGAGAGGGGACAGAGGGGCCGAGAGTTGAGGACCGCCTCAATTTTACAGAATACAGTGGCAAGCTCCTCAAATGTCAAAATAGTTTCGCCAATAACGCGACGGAGATGCGTTTTTGCAACCTAAGCCACTGCCTCAAAAATACCGCCCCAGTGTTGACAAACCGGAGGGTCGAATTTCCACTGGATGTCCTTCTTGGACATCGGAGTACCTAAATAAGGGCTGTTGCTGGACAGAAACTCGACGACCTCTTTCAAATATCTATCCGTGCCCTTATAATTCGTTCCGCAATCAGACCGGATCAGGTCCGGCAAACCGCGACGCGATACGAAGCGGCCCAGCGTGGCCACAAAGTTTTCGGTGCTGAGGGCACTTACAAGTTCTAAGTGAACGGCCTTAGTGGAGAGGCACACGAAAACACACAGATAGGCCTTATGTGAACGCGTGTTACGAAGGTAGGAGGACTTGACGAGGAAGGGGCCAGCAAAGTCTGTGCCGACTCCAACGAATGGTCGGATGGCCCTGACGCGGTCGGGTGGCAAGTCACCCATCATGGGCTGCGATATGGTGGCCTTCAGTTTATAACAAGGTATGCACTTATAGAGGATGCTCTGAATGGTGCGTCGGCCAGCCAAAATCCAAAACTCCCACTGCAAAATAGCCGAAAGAGCGTTACACCCAGCGTGGGCATTCTTAACATGATGGTAAGTTACCAGCAACCGAACAAAGGCGCCGTCCTCAGGGAGCAGAACGAGTGTCAAGCCCCGTACGGCAGTTGAGAATTTTTCAAACGTCCGCCAACGCGCAGCATCCCAGCGTCGTCCAGGAATAGTTTCAGACGGGCCAGAGCACCCTTGACAACGGAGCCCCGCTTCAAGGTTTCAATCACGGGCTCAAAATGCTCCGCTTGGACCATACGGGTCCAATGAGTCAAGGCTTCGCGACGCTCGCTAGGGGACAAAACGGAATCAGAGATTCGGTTGGACGGGTCTCTTGAATTGCGGAGATATCGACGCAACCTAGCAGTCACTCCTAAGAGCTTATCGAGAGAGCTGTACCGTTCTAGCAGGGAGAAATCCCGAGTGGGCTTATCCTTGCCCACTCCTACTCGGGCTCGTAGGCTAGGCAATTCAATCGGTTCGGAGTATTTATTCTGGGGCCAGAATGACTGAGACTCAGTCAACCAACTGGGACCCCACCATAGCGGGCGGTCAACCAAAGAGGGGGCTCCACAGCCGCGAGAAGCGCAGTCTGCGGGATTCATCTCCCCTAGGACATGCCTCCAGTTTAGAGACGTCCCAGAATTCTGGATTTGAGACACGCGGTTTGCCACAAAGACCTCAAGATTGTGAGATGCGCCTCTGAGCCAACAAAGTACTATCTCAATGTCCGACCAAGCGTAGATGTCCGTAATGTCGATTATAGACTTCAAGGACAAGTGAACGTGGATGAAGAGTCGCGTGAAAAGAGCAGCTCCGGATAGTCCAATTTAGGGATAGTTAAGCGGGACCTAATGGGAGCAACCATGCTTTTAGCAAGTACGAGATGGACGGAAGTATGGCCAGAAGAGCTCACAGTCCGCAAATATACGACAGCAGCATAGCCCTTCTCAGAGGTATCGCAAAATCCACGTAGGGTAGCCCTGCATTTCCCTGGAGGGAGGAAGCACCTTGGCATGGAGACACGGTTGATGTCCGGAAGGGAGGACACAATGGAGTGCCACTCTCGCAAGAGAACACCGCTAATAGGCTCGTCCCAACCCAACCCGGATATCCAGAGCTTTTGAAGAAAGCACTTAGCCAAAAAAATGACCGAAGTGATCCATCCACTAGGATCGAAGGTGCGGGCTACTGTAGACAGCACGGAGCGCTTGGTCCATGCTTTAAGAGGGGGATCGAGTTTGACTCGATAGGTGAAAGTATCCTGAACAGGCTGATATTGAATGCCCAGCACAGACAACAAATTAGGATTGTCAGGGTACTCGAATAGATGAGGGTCTTGTTGATCCTCTCCTGGGAGATCCTTCAAAATATGAGGGGAGTTCGACAACCATTTGCGCAACTAATAACCTCCGGACTTCAGGATGGCAATCAATTCGTCTCGCAATACAAGAGTCTCCTCGACGGTGGAGGCGCCCGTGCAAATGTCGTCCATGTAGACCGAAGTCTCCAAAATGGAAGCCCCCCGAGCGTATTTTAGACGCTCTCTTTCAGCGAGTTCGAGGAGGGTTCGCATGGCGATATACGGGCTGAACCGGAGTCCATAGGTGGTGGTGTTCAACTCAAACACCTGAATCGAATCGCTGGGCTTCTCGCGCCATAATATCAGCTGATATCGACGGTCATCACGATGGACCACTGATTGTCGAAACATCATCCGAATGTCGGCTACAAAAACCACTTGGTGCCGACGGAAGTGGGTCAAAATGTCGGATATGTCCTGTGACCAGAGTGGAGACACTGGTTCAGGGACACAACATTTGACAAGGCGGCGGAGCCGTCAAAAACTATCCGAATCTTACTCCCAGGGGTCCTCAAGACCGCATGGTGAGGGAGGAAGTAGTGCTCCTGTGACCGCCAGTCGAAGTTGGACGGTGACATGTGACCCAGCTCTTGATACTCGCGCATGAACTCGACATATTTGTCGCGAAAGGCTGGGTCGCGCCGCATACGGCGCTCCATGGAAAGCAACCTCTTTTCGGCCAGGGTACGAGATTGGTCCAAAGGGGCCGTGAGTCAAGAAAGGGTAAGCGAGTGACAAAACGACCGTCGACACGACGGCCGGTATTGTTCTGGTAGAACAACGCGCACTCACGGTCCAGAGGGTTGACTCGAGCCGCGTGTGGTGGATCCTCAATTTCCCAGAACCGCTGGACGACGTCCGAAAGGGACGCGCCCACAACAGAGATCGGGTCGGCCGTCTGAGGAGGTGGAGACCGCAGAACCCGTCCAAAGAAACTGTGCCCAAATACAGTGGACATGGCTGATAAGCCATCGGGCTGTAGGGCTCGTATCTCGCCTAACAAGATGAACCCCAGCGCGTCGGCCCCCAGCAATAAATCTGGGCCATGTTGGGACCATTGAGGGTCCACCGGTCTCAAACCCGACGCACAACGGACCGCGCTGTCATTTATACGGACGTTAGGGAGAAAATTTACAATGTCATCGAGGACATTTACCTTAACTAGAATGTGAAGATGTTCGCTGGCAGGGCCAAACACCAACTCCGCTTATCCTCTAGGAGCAGGAGGCTCGGCACCTCCAATACCTATCATTCGACGTGTTTCAGAGCTCCAGGGGATCCCCAGTCTTCCCACCAACCAAGTGGAGGCCACACTATGTTGTGAACCCGAATCCAATAGAACGCGAACCGTTAAACAGTCGCCACTCGGGTTGTACACCTTCACTGAGGCCGTCGGCAATAGAACAGTTTGACAAGTGGACTGTTGACGGCTCAGGGGATCAATGGAGGCGGCCGTGGTGGGAGCTAGGGCAGCAGCTACCTAGCTGGGGCTGCCTCCATCGGACCGGCGCTCGAACCAGGGGTCCCGAAAGCGGCATTCCGGCGGCATCTCAATGACCCTTGGTCGGAAATCACCTAACGGGCCGACCTGGGGAGCCTCGGGGAACCTCGGCCTTGAGGCCCGGTACAGATTCGAGGTAGCAGGAACCCCGTAGTACCGGTACCGATCAAATGGGGGAGGGTGGTACTCTGGTACTAACGGGGGTGAGAAGGGTCTAGCTGACCGCTGAGTGGCCGTGAAGTTCCTCTCCACACGCTGAGGGGGCGACGACCCCCCCGCCCCTGGGGGAACGACCCCCCAAATGCTCGGGGGAGGCATCCCCTTCAAACCCAGGGGCACGGTGGCCGGCAGGCGAGCGCCGAGTGTCGCCCGATAGAGGGCGTGACTGAGCGCCCCCGCCCGTGGGAGTTGAGGGTCCGGCAGAGCCTCGAGAGGAAGCGCCGTTCGCACCCAGGCACAAAACGGCATGGTGGTTGCCCTGGCAGTGCAGACAGGGCCGCTGGTGCGGGCAGTCTCGTTGGAGGTGCCTTTCCAAGCTCGAGTAGCACCAGTGGCGCTCCTTGGCGATAATTCGCCTCGCCGGGACCGCTGGGACTAACACATCTAGGAAAGCTAAAGAATTATTTGCCTCTAACTCCATAGTAAATTGAATTCTAGAGTTTATGGAATTAAGATTTTCAAAAAATGCTGTTTTTTAGTAGTTAGTTACTTTGTCTGATGGTAAAATTGTGAAAGTATCGTCTACGTACCGCTTGTAGAAACTTGGAGTTACTGGTGCAGTAAGCAGGACTTTCCCCTCAAAGTCCTTCATAAAAATAGATAGCCAGACGTAAGGCAATTGTATCTACAAGCGGTACGTAGACGATACTTTCACAATTTTACCATCAGTCAAAGTAACTGCAGTTTTCATCATCATCATTACAGCCCTTCACAAGTCCACTGCTGAACATAGGCCTCCCCCAAGGAATGCCACAAAGCACGGTCCTGAGCCACCTGCATCCATCGACTTCCTGCATATCTTACCAGGTCGTCACTCCATCTAGTGGGGGGACGCCCAACACTTCGCCTGCCGGTACGAGGCTACCACTTGAAAACCTTTTTTCTCCATCGGTTGTCGGTTCTTCAGAATATATGGCCGGCCCATTGCCACTTCAGCTTACTAATCCGTTGGGCTATGTCGGTCACTCTGATTTTACTGCAGATATCCTCATTTCTGAGATTATCACGCAGAGAAACTCCGAGCATAGCCCTCTCCATAGCTCGCTGAGCGACCTTGAGCTTCCTCATCTGGCCAGCAGTGAAAGACCACGTCTCAGTTCCGTATGTCATCACTAGCAACACGCACTGGTTGTACAGTCTCGTTTTCAAGTTTTGAGGTATACCGGACGAGAAGATGTGCTGTAATTTCCCGAACGCTGCCCAACCGAGTTGAATCCGCCGATTGACCTCTCGGTCGAAGTTGGACTTACCTAGTCGGACTATTTGTCCCAGGTAAACATACTCGTCAAAAACTTCGAGCTTAGTGCTCCTAACAACTACCGGCATAGGTGTGACATGAACATTAAACATGATCTTTGTTTTGTCCATGTTCATCTTAAGACCTATCCGTTGGGAAGCACTATTGAGGTCATTGAGCATAGTGCTTAGGTCCTCCAGCGATTCTGCCATAAGGACTATATCGTCGGCAAATCGAAGGTGAGTGATGTACTCGCCATTGATGTTGATACCGTATCCTTTCCAGTCCAGAAGCTTGAAAACGTCTTCCAATGCAGCGGTGAAGAGTTTCGGGGATATGACGTCACCCTGTCTTACACCTCTCTGCAATTGGATAGGTTTCGTACTCTGGTTCTGTACTCGGATAGCCATCGTAGCCCTACTGTACAAGTACTTCTGGACTTCGATATACCGACAGTTAACATGGCACCGCTGAAGGGACTGCAGCACTGCCCAAAATTTCGACGGAATCAAAGGCTTTCTCATAGTCCACATACGCCAGACATAGTGGCAAATTGTACTCCTCTGACTTCT